ATTATTAGTGTTATTAATATTTGCACCATTGACTCATATTTTATAAAATGTCTGTACAGACGCACTTTGTCTAACTGTTATGAAGCGTCTCCAGTATTGTTTCAATGATGTGCCTTTTTATGAAACTGATTTGAATGATACTTAATTGTTTCGAGTTTTGTGCACTGTTCAAAATAAACTGAAAAGTATTGGGAGTAAAGTGCAAAAAGTGGCTGCAGGGAAGAATTCACAACCATCCATCCAGGGTACAGTATCTCCCGGTGATCTCTGGCGCCTGTCAGTATTGGCTATCGCGTCTCTTCGTGGTTAACGATTATTAGAATTTATATAAGAACATATATTCCTGGATGTTCGTGTTTTATTAATGTCAGTACTGTATATATCTGTATGTCCTTCATCTGGTAACGCCCAGTAAATACAAAAGTAAGTCTCGTTTGGTTCTTTGTATAGACAACAGTATTACACTTCACGAAAACGACACGAAGAATAATACCTCAGTACAGTATATACATTACTACTACCGTTTACTTTCACATAAATGTTTACGGTCTCCTTTTTGGTCAACTGTCATGGTCTCGTCTAGGCTCTGAGGGCACATTTCTGTCATTCATTTTTCCTATTTATTATCTAAAAAAAAAAAGTATTGTGATCACATTAGTTGCTGATCATCTAAAATAGTAAACCTTCCCATCTCGGGTCCTGGATAGTGCCCAGTATAGTGGGCTACCTTAATACCTGTGGCCTTTATACGAGTAAGAAGGTCCAGCTGGTGAGGGTGTGTCGTGCCTCTGTTGACACGGATATCCGCTCTGTTGCCGTCTGAAGATCGCTGGTATTGGCTGCCTGCCCTAAACATTGTGTTGTGTGTGTGTTGGTCTTTAGGGTAGCAGCGCCAGGAGTCGGTGTACTGTACATATAACAATATTTCTTGAATTATTAACTCACCGGAAGTTTGACCTCATCATTGTTGAAGAACAAGTGCCTTGCCTGTTTGGCACCGTTACACACACTGTATTACGTGTCACCAATTTAACTAAGTCCGGAATTAAGCTCGTATTAAATTCATTAGTTATAAGTTATAATCAGGGTCCAAATCCTTAACCAGTGTCTTGTTGAGGTAATTCACTGTTAGGAAGGGGAAGTCAGTGCGTATGTATACAAATGAGCCCTGGCTGGACACGAAAGTCGTGTTCACCCCGTTGGATTTTGTGCTGTAAGACTAATATAGACCAACGCAAAATGCACCTTGCAGTTGCTGTTAGTATGATGAAAAACAGTTTTGCTTAGTTGGAATCATAACAGTACTGTGAGTACCATGAAATTACTTAAATTTCTCTAACTCATAGAACTTCAATGCATTTTTGTTGGATGAAATTATGTTTCATAAAACAAACTTTACATAACAGGATAAGTATCAAAGATGTCTCTATGAATTTATATATAAAAAAGAACTTGATATCTTTGGGAAAATTTAAAAAATGTTAAAGAAACACTTACCCGTCTAATACTCTTTTTCCCAATAAAAATGTACCACACGCTGCAGAATTCTTTTACGTAAAATCTACAGTTCATCTACGTTCAAGCACTGTCCTTTTACTGTTGCATGCTGTAGTACGAGCTGTCCGTGAGACATATACTGTACACTACTTATGCATCCACAGTTAACAGTGAACCAACATGTCAACAGACCCAGTCATAATTCTGGACGTGTCGACATTAACATCAGAACAAGTGAAATGTTACCTCTCTCAAAGTTCTGTTTCATTGTCTTGTGGGGTGGAAAACCTGGGTGACCATCTGTGTGCCTGTACATGAGTGGTTGGAGATGTTCTTGTGTGATGTAAACAGTATCACCAATAGGGGAGTGAGGTCATCTATATCAGTTATCATCCTCGTTCATTTATCTGTTGGTATTTGTAAGGCTTGAAATAGCGATAAAAAATTAAGCTTGGTAGCCATGGTTGTTTGATCCAGCACACCTGATATGTATATAAGCTAAAAAAGCTTCGGGTAGCCTTTCAGTAACTCGATCTACATAGAGGTTTCGACACTCGCTAACCTCTATCAAGCTATATTTCAGGTTAACAAGCAAGGTTATTAACGTGGGTGAGCTACAAACTTGGCCGTAATGCCACTGTTTGATACTGAGAGTCGTGTAGCGTACAGGTGATGGTGGTTGGTCATAAAGTTATAGTTTCTGTGAACACATTTGGAGTTTTCTGAGAAGTGGTCAAGGTCATGACATTGAGCGCCCGCCTGCCTGACTCACTCCTCCCTCACACACTACTATTTTATCATATTTATTGCCTAGTTGTCTCTTATTACTCTAACAATATTCAATACAATTATAATTTAGATATACAGCACGACTACTTCCTTCTCATGAGGATAATTGACTTCCAGTCCAGAGTTGTATTGATGCATCATAAATCATTGCCGCCCCCTCCCCTCCCCCCCTCCTCACACTCACTCACTCTGGCGACTTATCAAGCTACTTTTTTTATTTATTTTTTCATCAATTTTATTCCTCTGCTTGACTAATTGTGTAAGACCTATACCCCGGTTCTCTACATATTAGCATTAAGTAATTCACTACTGTCTCAATCCCAGACTTAATTTATTGCTCTTAATTTTTCCAGTGATGTCGAAGTTAATGTAAGTAGTCGAAGTAATATCATTCTTACTTCCCTGGCTTCCTCGGTGCTCATTATATAAGTGCAAAAAGACCACAGGAATCTTTAGAAATGAGTTGTTCAGAACGGACGATGTGGAAAGTAGCACAGCGTCATCGTGGAAACAATTACATATCATGGTAGGTCGTCGTTAGCGTGGCCTCACAATAATGACACCACCAGCGGCAACAGGTAAACACATAATTACCTTGTTTACCTGTGAAATACCTGGCAGATGAGAGTCTCCTTTGGGCTTGCTTCTTGTTTGTTCATACGGCTCAAGTATGAATATTAAACACCGTGTGAGTTTGGCAATATACTGAAGTTAAGGAATTGTAAGTGTGATGTACAGGAGAGAGATCACTGTGGGAAACGAATTCGAGGTGATTTGGACATTTCGTCTCGTTGCCAGGCAAAAGGTCCCACTACACCAACGGCCTACTGGTCTTGATTACCCTCCACCCATCTACTGTCCTCCAACTGTCAACTTCCCTCCACCCATCTACTGGTCAACTACCCTCCACCCATCTACTGTCCTCCAACTGTCAACTACCCTCCACCCATCTACTGTCCTCCAACTGTCAACTACCCTCCACCCATCTACTGTCCTCCAACTGTCAACTACCCTCCACCCATCTACTGTCCTCCAACTGTCAACTACCCTCCACCCATCGACTCCTCCACCTGTCAACTACCCTCCACCCATCGACTATCCTCCATCCATCTACTACCCTCCACCCACCTTCCATCTACCCTCCATAGTTCACACACTAAAGAGGGAGAGGGGGGGGGGCTAAGAAGATAATTATGAACACGGAGATAGAGGGCGTGTCTTTTGGTCTTGGTGATCATTATCGTTCCATGGTGGTTAGGTTAGTCTTATGGCGTCACTTTTGGCACAAACCTAAGCACGGCGTCATCTCTACTCAGGGTGGGGTTGAACCCCTCGCCCTCGTTACTTCAATTTATAATTTCAATTGTTTATTCCTTGATAGAGGAAGCGGGATCCTAGTGCTGTCACTAGGTACCCCTGTACAATGACACCAGAATCATCTGGCAAGTGTGACAAGTATATACAGTATAAATATTATAAAGGGGCTTACTAAAGCCTAAGGAAGGAAGGATATTCCTTTAACACATAATCAATGTTATTTACATAGTATCTGGCCAGTATGGGGAGGATCATCGTGTCTCCGTCAGGGGGTCGTAGTCTTCGTTACTTCCAGTAGGTACCGTGGTAGGTGGATGGGTCGCTAACATGACGGAGCAGAACCATCAATGTTGTTATAACAAATGTAGGTGGACTACTTCCTTATAGGCAGCTATTGACAGGGAGGTACTCCCGCCTGGGAAGATATTGGAAGCATAATGTGTTGTCTAATGGTGGACCCTGCTGCCATATGTGATCAAGTCCCAGGTTGCTGATCTGACTTTGTGCCTCATTTACACACAATTGCAGGGTCTCAATTGTTTCTCTTAGTTTGACAACACAACTTACATACTGTACTGTATATATCGTTTCCAATCTTGATCTTTTTTTTCATTTTTGTATTTATTTATGGTTCTATATTATTATTATTATTATTATTATTATTATATTTTCGCCCCCCAGGCCCGATTTGGGTCAGTGACCTGTGCCCGGGTGGAATAATCCCAGTTAAAAAAAAAAATAGTTGTGGGTCAGCCTCTTGATTTACCTCCGTCTGATACTGAGGGAGGAGCAGGTTGTTGATTGGCCAGGCGGGAACAGGTAATTGCTGGGTACACCAAGGTCAGGTCAGGTCCCTCGGAATATGTTTTCATAAGAACTGTGAAGTATGAGGTAAAGTAGCAATGCATATGATACATGGCCTTCTAACATGTTTGGGCTGAGACTAAATTGTTACTTTGTCGCACCAAATGTTAGTCAAATAGACGCATTTGATGAGGCACATTCTTCTGGTTATCATTTAATGACGGGTAAATGTAGATTTTGTAAGTGGAGTACTGTAGTAGTAATGTGCAATACCCACAACTTCATACAGGAACCCGAAAGCACGGGCACACGCATATCTACAGTAAAAAAATAGTTATATGATCTTCATGAACTGTTACATTAGCGACAACTTATGTTATGTTGCCACTACATACAGTATATGCCCTTCAGCGTCACAGTACACGCCGGGACTTTGTTAAACTGGACTTTAATCCTATACAACTTATAATACATATTTTCTGGGTTAATGACACAATTGACACCATCGACCAGTGATTTCCTTTACTAAAGTTTGGTTTTATGTAATTTTGGAATGAGATAAGATATACTCAGGAGCTCTCCTCTTCCGGCAGTAACGGCATGGCTAACCGTCCGAGGACAGCGTCCACAAGAAATGAGGAGGACATGATGGCAGTCGCCCGCAGGAAGATCCAGCAAACAACCGATCCTGTGGAAAAGCTGCGGCTTCTCTGCCTCAGCCGCGGCGCCGCTGGCATCATGGGTATGGGCAAGTAAGTCACCCCTACTATACCTCATTAGATTGTCTTTGTATATATCAGAGCTTTTGCGGAATATAAATGTTATCAGTAAATCAGTTTTTTAATACTCTTTGAACTAAAGTTACATATCCTTGCATAAGTTTAGAAACCGTTGTACTCAAATTCCCTCATTTTAATATCGCCTCAGCCTTGGCTCTCCCTGCCTTCCATCTCCACACCTCCATAACTTATGGTTTTCTGAAGTAATTTCTTTTCTCACATTTGTCGTCTCAGAAGTAAAAAGTAGCCAACTTAGAAAGCTTCACATTTTTTGTCAGAATAAAGCATCTAGTGCAGTTAGAAAGAAAGTGTGAAGAACGTGCTACCTCAGACTCTGGCAACCCTTTGCTATAATAGCAAATAGTTGGCACAGTGAAATAAAAAACAATATCAAGATTAATGTCTTAAAGCCTGATTCAAATACTGTATATTTTCCATAGCGTCACAGTTTGTCATGTTGGTGTTTTGTTGCAGAGTGTTCCGCAGGATGGACGACGACGGTTCTCACAACCTCAACATGGAGGAGTTCAGTAAGGGTATCAGGGAAACTGGTCTAAAGCTTGGTGAAGAGGATACAGAGAAGCTTTTCAAGGCTTTTGATAAAGATGGTGGAGGGTCTGTGAACTATGATGAATTTCTCGTGGCTATAAGGGTGAGTTTTGAACATGTACAACGAACATGAGTTGTATGTATGGGAGAGAGAGACTACTTCACCTTGTAGACGTATAAACTTTATCCTTACTCACCAGTATCCTGCTGGTCATGTATGCTACACTGCAGTATTATTTTTATTTAGATTTCATTCTTCATAGATAATTATCTCAAATTTAGCAGTCACACTGTTTCCCAAATGGAATTAATGAACTGTCAATTTAATAATATACAAGTACATTACAAGTGTTGTTTAAATGATTAAAACATCTTTATATTTTACATTGTTCAAGTCAGACTTTGCCTCAGTAATGGTTACATGATCTGTAGAATCATTTACGTACCACATATCAGGTTTACCTATTGTATATATTTATAGGATATGACGTGTTTTAACATATATAAAGAGCATCATAATTACTTTTAACAACTCTGAAGAACATTTAATATATCCCAAACAGCCAAAAATTAATGAAAGAAGAAAGAAACTGGTAGATATGGCTTTTGACAAGCTAGACAAAACAGATGATGGCATAGTAACCCTGGAGGACTTGAAGGGGGTGTACTCGGTCCAGAGGCATCCTAAGTATCAATCTGGAGAGATGACCGAAGACCAGATCCTGGGAACTGTTATAAAGAAGTTTGAGAACAACACATCTGAAGATGGCAAGGTGGGTTATTCATAATGTTTATAGGACATTTTTGTTTTCATCTTGATTTGTCAAATTCTTCTAAGCTAAGTAGTACATGGTGAGTAATAGCTGTATCATGTGGGTGTAAAAATAGGATAGGAAATTAAACAAAAAAATATGATATTGAGTAGGAACTAGAGAAAATGAGGAAGTTGTTGGCGCTTATGAGTTTATGTTGGATTACCTACGCTTAAGGCAAACGATAATGAATTGCTATTGTAATATTAAGAAAAGCGAGAAACTGATATTTGAGTGCAGGTAGTAGTATACTGAACCTTTGTTTTCAAAAGATATACAGCCAGGTGTACTTCACTTAATACATCACAATAAGAAACGGCATCAGGCTTTTAAAACTGAAATGAAATTTCCTATTCTATATAAATCAAAATTTTCGCATTTACAAATTGCTACCACACTCCAAACCATTTGCTTGGCATCGTGTATTTGAGATCCAATCCACAATGTAAGACGCACAAATGTTGGTAGTAGCCCATCCGACCATGGCATTTAGCCACGTGCATAATTCTAAAAGGGGTTGAAGTAAGAGAAAAAAATAAGTTGGAGAAACTGCATGTAAATTGGATTGTAATTTGGTAATTACAATATTATGTGATGGCCTTATGTAAAATATCACCAAAGAGCGTCAACTAATATTAGAAAATTGGTAAACATTAGGAATATTTATGTTCGCTCTATTATTAAAAATAATTGACAAATGAAAATTATCCTTTAAGTAATTTACTGTTTGCGTAATTTGATTTGTATTTCCTGAAATTTAACTAACTTTTCCTTTTCCCTTTAGCTAACAAAGGACGAGTTCTACGACTATTACTCAGGAATTAGCGCCTCCATCGACCAAGATGCATACTTTGATCTCATGATGCGTAATGCTTGGGGTATTAAATAAGTGATTTCGCTAGGTAATTTAACTGACCACACATTGTAGCAATGTTTTAAGATACACTGGAACAGTGATTATAAATGGCCTTTTTAATAGCAAAGAGTACTACAGTACCAGGTATATACTGTACCATAGAATGCACTTGTCTCCAGACCATATACCCTGTATTACCTGCGTTACTTTCTGAGTACTGTTCTATATTTTCAGTTTACTGTACTAGGAACGCTCGATCTTTCTTAAGTTTTCCGTAATACTTGTGTCGTTACTTCCCTGGCAGAACCTTGAACGATTGCTACCATTTTAGCATGATGCAGATCACCAACTGAAAGATATTATGGATAAGTGTTACTTCTAACATTAAACTTGTTAGCGAATGTGTACTTAATGGAAGTACTGTACTGTAGATAGTCCAGTGACAGTACCACTCGGAACCAGTGAATGTACAGTACAGTATACGTAAATGTTTGGTGATCACTCATCGGATCCCTTACAATAGTCCAAGCTATCCTAAATTTCTCCAAACTGGTCTACATAATTGTCATGACGTGATCAATACCTCGGAAAACATGTAAGATAATTCCGAATGTGTTTATATGTTGCAAATTATAAAAAAAATATATATATATATTTCGCAGCAAGTTTGACAAGGTCCGAGTTTTCCAAAATTGTGAGGTACTGAAACCGAACTGTCGAAGTTTGCCGTATTGAAATGTTAGTAGATGTAAGTTCATATCAGTAAACTGACCCATGCGCAGTACTGTCCTATCTACAGTATATTGAAAAGGCAATTTATAGTGACTTGCATATAAAGCAGGATAAGTTCTGTTCAGTCATCCTGCCCTACATGTGTGGTGCCCATGGGATTTCTTAAATGTAGCTCTGAAGTCATTCCAGTTATTTCCATCTGAGTTTTGATGTTTAGAATATTTAGGGAAATATTTCAGTGTATAAGTTGCAGTGTACTACAGTATATAGCTAACAGTCGATATAATAGTTGACAGGAGATATAATTTGCATTACGCTTATGAAACTATACCGCACTGACTTTGATATCAATAGATTTGTTGTGAGAAGTTTTTAATTTACTGTATTTCATATTCCTTTTACTTGTACCCTTTTATATATGGAAAAGATGATTTGGTTCTCCAGGTTTATTTAGTATCTTAATTACATTGATTGTTTTAAAGTGAGCATTATGAGTCCACTAATTATTTCAACCATGGTATTTAAGTAAATTTTTCAGTAAAAAATAAGTACAGTATTTTGTTTCTTACTCTTCATATAAAAAATAAATGTCGTCTCATCTATTTGATTATATCTGTTAACGCTCATAGGAGAGTTATTGATTTGTGCTCGATAATAAGACCCATAACGATGACGCGAAGAGTATAATTCGGTCAAAACCTGATATAACAAATGCTGGTATATCAGGACACATAGTATGAATAGTACGATCAATATACAGTACATAGCCTGTTAACCCCAAATATAACTCACATGTTACAACTGTTGATACATCAGGAGACAATTTGTATAATATGATCAATATACAGTACATAAATATACTTATTTAAGTTATTTTGAGTTTTTAGAGGATTTAATAGTTCACAATCACACTCACGTTTTGGGGTCTAAGGTTTGACCAATGAGAACAAATATAATATCCTCTTGGTATATGTTGGTCGAACGAAAGACGTCTCTACAGTAGGAGGCGATAGACTCTCCCTCAGGCAGTCATACAGCTGCGTGGCCGTCGCTTATTTAAACACCTCAGCAAAATTCGGTTTTTTTTTGGGGGGGGGGGGCACCCTCTACATCCTTGTGTAAGGTGAAGCGGTAAGGGCGTAGAAGCCTGAAGAGTCAATGGTTTTTATGTCTAGGCAAGTTATTGTAAGCTCCAACAACTTGTCCCTGAATACGAATTCGCAACTTTCGATTTACAGCAGGTCCTACTTTGCTGCTAGGGGAACAGGGACCAAGGGGACTAGGAAGAGTGTCCAAACAACTTCCGCCAGCCCGGGAATCGAACCCATGACATCTTGCTTGCGAGGCAAGAGCGGTACCGCTCCACCAGGCCCCCTTCCCCCACACAAATTTCGTTGCCAACACTGTCTCTCCTCTCACCCTCTCTCTGAATGTTGTAAGATATTATGAAATTTTGGGTGCATATTTTTCATTTGAATATGATAACTTTTGAAGAGGTATTTGGGTTTTCTTCAAACTTGATAGGGACCTCTCATCTCCCAAAGAACTCAGACTAGTTCCATAATGGACACGATCCGATTATTTTACTCAAAACTGAGACCATTCAAGGATTTATTGAGTGCTGGACTTAGACAAACGCATACACATGGTATTTGGCTTCCTCTTTGTATTGGACTACAGATAATGAAACATTGTATACCACTGATTTAATTGAAGGGCTTAAGCTAATATGATACAATTATTTAACTGAGAAGTTGTATTGCCTGAATTTGATTTTCAGTATAAAATATACTTTTTTGTTTTGTTTTTGTCCCTGATATCTGTAATTAATACCAAACTTACTGAGATAGCTTAATTTTCTTATTCCAATATAAAAATAAGGCTAAATTTAACATCAACGCTGTAATGTACACACTCATGTGGACAATGAAACAAGAATTTCCAGAATTACAGGCACTTACACTCACTTCTCACTGAAAACCTCTATAATAAACATTGTAGCCATCAGGAAATATGGTACTCTAGGTTTTATTGTTGTTCTTTTGTAGATTACTGTACCTGTAAGTCGTATTGTAGAGCATTTTTGTGGAATTAAAATATGCCATAGCACTAGATGGCATTCATGACTTCGGATTTTTGTTTTGGTATTTCATTTGCTGAAACATTTGCTAGGTGCTATTTTATCCTGCCAAAATAGTTGTTTACTAGTTACCTTGCGGGGTATTTTAAGTGAATGCATTATTTGGTTATTCAGTGACTACATTGTTCCTTCAAGTGAAAAAATGATCAGTGAATACAGGATATTAAGTACAGTATCTTAGAACAGCTTATTAATTATACTATGTCATATTTTAAAGAAACAGTTAAACAGGTTAGATGAATTACTGACTACAGAATGGTGTGCCATATGACTGTCCCATTTAGCCTTTAACCTTTCATGTTAACAGTAAGTTAATTGACCAAAAAATTAAAACCTATTATAACAGCTTCATAAGTGGGAACTTGCTTGCGGATTATTTTTAGTTACAGAAAGAATAGAATGACAGTTTAAAGCATCCCACTTAACACTTTATCACTAATATTCTTGGAGTCACTTACTGTTAATAATTAAGCTTGAAATTCTTTATTTAGCTCTTGATAACTTGTACTATACTTGGAAATATTTTTATACTTCTACAGCTTTATGTGTACTTCAAACAGTGATGATCATTTCCAATTAGCTTGCTTCTTGCTAATTAAATATTATGGATCTTCATTTCATGCTCAAAGAATATTAACCGAAAATAACACTACTGTACAACACTTTCAAAACGAAATTTTATTTGTTATCATTAGACGATTTTTCTTGATTATTAAAGCTACTAGTTACATCAATGTGAACGCAGTACTTCCAATGCATGTTATGTTATTAGTTAACACTAAAAAAAATTAAAATTTTTCAAGAATTAAGCAAAATTACTTTTCTCGTGTTCCCCTCAAAAATCATACTAGAGCATTAATACATTGTCATTCATGAACAAATGCATATTACATTATTATTGCCAACTGCACGACCTGTGAATGTTATTCCATCAGATATCCATCCTTTACGATCTATCCAAAATTTCTTAGCAATAAAAATACGAAGTAATAAAATTTTATGTTTAATGTCCTGAATATTTTATATCTCTGCACAGTCACCACATCGGTGAAGACCAGAAATACCTGGGCATGCGCCATAGTTGCCTAAAGTATTTTCCAGACTTTTTGCTGCCTCCTGGCCTGGAATGAACTGAAGTCCTCTAAATTAAATAAACTTATAATTTTATCAAATGCATAACAGTAAAAAAGGTTCTAATGAAAAAATTTATCCACGGTTGTATTACTATCACTCCCAGTAATCTCCCATGATCCCATCTTGAAGGTCTACTAAGTCACCTGCTGAATGTCCTCGACTCCAAGTACATCTTTTTTACTTTAATAATCCCCTTATGGACAGCAGGTTGCTAGTTAAGGCAAGGCAATTAAGGCGTTTATCTAAAAATTTTAAATTCAAGAGAAAACTGGTCATTAAAGCCTTTGTGTAAAAGTAATCAGCAAAATACCTGTGTTTATTGGGATCTTTGATATACTGTTTAACCGCTCCACTAAACAGGAAACACGCTTAGAACTTATGACATTTTATTTCCTCAGTGAATAAACACCATAAGATCGATTTGAAATCTGATTAGAATTCAGTTTGGTAAATAACTATACGTGATTATGTCGTAAATTGAACAGTGTAGTTAATATTCATCACTTAAAATATATGCATAGTTAACATTCATATTGGAAATTAAAAGATTCAATTCAATGATAATACCGGATACAAATTTTGGAGGGACGGCACTACTGCACGGAAGGCATGTTTTCTAGAGTTGTTTTTCATTTTTTGGTAGAAATGAGTTTTAACCCACACTAACTTTAATGAATAATAAATAAATAAAATGAAGCAGGTGTCAATCTATATCTCCCTCTCCATAAACGTCTACAGTATATCCATCAGCCCAAGGTGTGGTATCAAGAATAGTACTGGGCTTCAAAATAACACTAGACAAAATTATCAAGAACAATGGAAGGTTCCTACACAGGCCACTGGCCCCATTCAGTTGTGAAAAGTAACACGACAAAGTGTAAATATAGTATATTTAAATAAAATATACCTGTAAATGTTCTTTACACAAAACACTAGATAATTACGTAGCTTAAATGCTTATGTACCTAACAGCACGTGTGAGTTGACAAAAGAAGTAAATTTGACCAACCGCCTCGGGTTTCATAGTCAATTGAGAATCTTTGACTTGGGCATCATGTGAGAAAATATATCTTAAGCCAAGAGTTATTCATTTACCAAAATTTAGTACAAAAATACCTTATAGTAAATTCGTAAAATTACCACATATAAATAATTATAGCCTCGTAGTTTACGGTAAAAATATGACGCATAAGAAATTCCCAGGAAACTGGCCCACGTAGACGGTGGGAGGCATGAATTAGAAAACACCATTCAGCGACTCGGGTCTTCCAAGGTCACCGTTGTTTGTTGTTGAGATTGTCGGACCGTAGTCCGACACGGGCCTTTGCCTATAGGCGGCCCGTTTGGTGGTTCCGGCTGGAGCTCCTGGAGCAGCCAGGCCGGATTGGGATTGGAGGTGGTCCCACCTGCAGATTTGGAAGGATACTGCAGGTTGCAAGTGTGAGCGGACCCCCGATTAGTGGACGCTTACCACCAACCCCCACTCTTGGACGTGGTCAGTTTCCGAGTGGCGCGCCCCCCGAACTGGGGTCCGCACTTGCTGGGAGAGAATACTTTCTAAGCTATCTGGGTGGTGGATATCGTGTGATGACCCGGAGAAGGTGGTGAATGTGGTTTGTTTGGGCCTTTCGGGTTAGAGTGGCCGCTGGTGTTGTGTGTGCTTCTTGGAAGATTTGAGTTCTGTTTCGGAGACTTTGTGTGACTTCGCAGTCGAGGAGATAGTGTTCAAGTGGGTTGGCTGCTGGCTCCTGACAGTAGGTGCATTCCATGACGTCATTTCCGATCATCTGCCAGGAGCACTTGTACCCTGATTGGGAACCAGCGTTGAATGCGTGAAGGAAGCTCTTTTTGATGTGGAGCTTGCTAGTCTTTCTGAGGTGATTCTTGACCTGTTACACGCTTGCTGGAACTTGAATGTGTACGCTACTAGAACGTGTAGTCGCCTTGGCTGCTTCGTCTGCCACGTCGTTTCCTCCGATCCCTACATGACTGGGAATCCAGTGTAAGACGACTGGGCGGTTTTGTCTTTGGAATTCTTGTAGCTGTGCGAGGATCGAGGTTATGATGTGGACGTTGTCTCCTGGTTGACTGTGTTGCAGCGCCTGCATGGCCGATTTCGAGTCCGTGTGAATTATGATGGACTTGTTGTGTTGTGTTGCAGCGTGTTGTAGGGCCTTTGAGATTGCTACCAGCTCTGTTTGTAGGGTGGAGCAGTCATTAGAAAGTCTCCATCGGAGGGTCTGACCTTGGGTGTAGAAGGCCGCTCCGGATGAATGATGTTTTGGATCCACCGAGCCGTCTGTGAAGTATGATGCTGCATCAGCCGGTGTCTCGGTGGCTATGGCTTCCAGAGTTATTTTTTTGAGGTCCTCCTTCTGGAGGTTGGCTTTACTATCGCCTAGGTCGGTAATTTTGAATGTGGCTGGTGGAGGGCTCCATGGTGGAGGAACTACGTAACCAT